GACGGTCTTGGGCACTGCAGGGATGGGCATGCCCCCTTGTTCTAGACAGCAGCACTGTCACTCTGCAGTGCCTATTCACAGTGACAGGCCTGCAACATGGCCTTCCTGGCACCCTAGGACCTGGCAGCCTATGAATGGCTTGGTTCTCCTCTTAGTTCAAGGTTCTCTTTAGGGTTCAATCCCTATTGACCAAGAAGAGCTGTACCATACAGGCCTGGCTGCTACTGGGTCATGGGAAGCTAACTGAATTTCATGATTAGTAACTTGAATTTAATCAAATGATGGTGAGATATTTTATTACCAAGACCACAAGGGCATCATTTCTAGCAGCAAAACACTGTTAGTTGTCTAAATTCCAGGAGCCTGGGAGAGACCAAAGGAATGCACTAGATATTATAAAACTTTGAAGGAGAATATAGAGCTGACATAATGTCCAAACTAAAAGAGAAAAAGAAGATCAAGACTTTAACCAGAGCAAAGCACATATGGTATGTTGGCTTTCAACAGCTCTATGTGAAGGCCTCGACAGTTTAACAGAACAGGGCAGAGCCCTAAATGGGCACACTTCTCACTGCACATACTTTTACAGTATTCTCCTATATGTGTATACCTAATTTTAAAAATATTTTATTTACTATTTTTATTTTATGTATTTGAGTGTATTGCCTGCACGTAGGTAAGCGCACCTGTGTCATTCAGTGCCTGCAGAGTTCAGAAGAGGGCGTTGGGTCTCCTGAAACTGGAGTTGTGGATGGTTGTTAGCCACCATGTGGTGTTGGGAACTGAACCCAGGTCCTCTGCAAGAGCAATTCGTGTTCTTAACCACTGAGTCACCTCTCCAGCCCCATATACCTAATTTTAATGTGAGAATTTTCACTAATTCCCCCAGCAAAAGCCTTTTCAAATATTTTTAAAACCATAGTATAAGATTTGGGAGGTGTAACAGGAAACAAGATGCCTCCTCTTTCTCAAGGATAACAGGGTGAAGGATTTGTGAGCAGTATATCAATGTCCCTGGTGACCACACACAGTGCTAAATAATAAAAAGAGGATGTCACTGCCCTCCAGGAGATTGCCAGTGTGGGCTATGGAGAACCTCCATGGGCATCTTCTGAGGACACTCTGCCCTCTCACATCCTCCTCACTTATGAGGATGTCAGCAATAAACAGCCTTGGGAAGCATAGGCCATGTTTCTCTGGGCATCCCAGTGATTAAGGCTTTTTCCCTCTGGAGCCTTAGCTGGCAGGATTACAACAGTCTGCTGTGGATGTTGGGGGTTTTCTAGGCTAGGGCTGTGACCCAGATGCATGGCATGGATGTGGGCCCTGGCTCTGAGTCTTCAGAGGAGCATGGGAACCCTTTTGGACGTGGAGCACATGTTATGCACAGTGTAGAAGCAGGCATGTCTGTCTCTGGCCCCACATCTTCCACCTTCCATCACCATCATGAAACTGTAGCTGGCTATCACTAGCTTGCCAGCAGGGAAAAATATAAAACCCCTCATATTCCTTGCCAGCAGGGAATAATATAAAACCCCTTCACTCATTGTGAGCTATGAGTTCTTCACAATGAGTCTAAATGTCTAAAACAAACCAAAGCTAGCTGTTCAGCACTTTCTAGGATCTGGTTCTAAGCTGACCACAGCCATCATAGCTGCTTCAGCAGTTACCTCTGCCTATGGCAGAGAGGGGAATTACCCAGACCATTATACAAAGCAACACGAAAGCTTCTATCCTGATTCTGCCTGGAGATGCTCCTCCACCCTCACCCCTTTATGATCTTGGACCCCTCATCCACATATTGGCAAGATTAAGTTTGTCTCAGCAATAAATTAAACTTAAGTCACAGAGCTGCAAATACCTCCTTAGCTTCCTAAGTCCTTAGTAGAGTTTAGAGTTGACACGGGTTTTTGTCTAGAATCGTTACTTTTTTTGGTTTTGTTGCCTTGATTATCATGTAGTAAAGTGGAAGATTTCCATGTCAGACTAGAATCAAAGGTACTTTCTTGTTTCTGGTTCTTTTCCATCAATTCTGTAATTCTGTGGAATTTGGAAGCAGCTCTCACAGATCTCAAGAACTCATCAGACTCCTGACTTCATGAGACCGTGTCCCACCAAGAGTGCTAGCTTGGCTCTGGCTCTAGGCAGCCTCTGGTTCCCACTGCCTGCAGCATCTTTATCCTGGTAATCTGATGTTTATATTTCTGGCACTGGAGCCCTGCATATTTCAGAGAGCAACAGAGAACTGAGGGTACAGTCTGTCTCTGCAAAGAGCTGCTGGGCTGATGGTCAGCGCTACTCTCTTGAGGGTGGCTGGCTGGTGACCAAGCAGTTCTTGAAAGATGGAAAGGTAGATGAATCTCTCTCTCTCTCTCTCTCTCTCTCTCTCTCTCTCTCTCTCTCTCTCTCACACACACACACACACACACACACACACACACTTTTGCTATGAGCTAATACAGAAAATAGGAGCCCTCCATGTAAAATGTCCAAGTAGACACCTGTCATTGTAAGAAAACCAGTGAGGTTTCCCTACAGACTTGATCTAACTGACCATGCTAGCCAAGCACCAAGATAAGCCAAGAAGTGTTCACAGACTCCACCTGGGATGCAGCAGTTCACACAGGTTTCCCTAGGGGACCCAGAAAGCATGTCTCAGGGTACTGTCTGATCTAGATAGATGCCTAGCAGAAGTTTCCAGCCTAGGGCTAAGCCTGAATTCAGCTACCAGCAAATCTGGTTAACACTGGCCTGACTCCCACAGAACTCTTATTTTACTTTTATTTACTTTTCTAGTTTTATTATTAGTATTATTATTATTGTGTGTGTGCATGGGAGGTATGATGTGTGGGTATGAGTACAGGTCTGTGTGTGTGTGTGTGTGCCACAGCACACACGCAGAGGTCAGAGGACAACTTTTTGGAGTCAATTCTCTCCTTCCATCATGAGATCCAGGGATAGAACTCAGGTTGTCAGACTAGCATGACAAGCACCTTTACTCACTGAACAATGTTGCTAGCCCAAATATATACTGGTTGTGAACTCAGAAAAACTTAAGTATCTTATGTAAAGTTAGCATTTCCAATAAATCTTCTGCAAACAGTGAGCCTGGACAGCTTGGAGGCTGTACTTTCTCTGATTCAGCCAGTTGGACGGGGAGAAGTACCCCTTTCTGGGACCCTGACCACACATGGCTTCTCAGAATTGCTTTCTTGAACTTTATTTTTTCACTGAACAGAACCAGTTTCAGTACCTACAAAGCTGATCCATCTGTATCATCTGTTGCCAGCTGAGATCAGTTCTTCAGCACTGGTCTTCCACATGGGCAGTAGAACAGATTCATCTCTGGACCCCAGTCAACCAATTTGGAGGATGTAGCCATCAGAACCACATATGTGTTGTAGGATCACAGGTCTTTGAAGGAAGCCTGGAGCCACAGCCTCCACTTCCAGGTGAGGAAACAGAAGTCCAAAGCAGACAGGCAGGGCAAAGATGGCCATTTAATATAGCTGCTCTGCCCAATATGGGAGCCACTGGCCACCTGTGACTCTGAAGCCTTGAAATGTGACCCAAAAAGGTGGAGTGCTATTAAAATAAAAAAATACACTAGATTCTAAGACTTAATACAAAGAAGAATGTAGAAACAATCATCCTATGTTGGTTTATAAGTCAAAATGATGAAGAATTAGTATATGCAGGTAAATATAAAACACATATTAAGATTAATCTTACATGTTTCTATTTTATTTATTTTAATGTGGTTACTAGAAAATTCACATTAGTGATCTATCTGGAACTGAGTTTTATTAAGTAGGAGGTTCAGAATGGAGTCTAGGACCTGAGGCTAAAGAACACTAGACTATTTTAATGGAATCTCACTTTGATTTTGATTTATTTCTTGAAGAGGGTGAAAACATGTCTATAGAGCACAGAAGTCCAAAACATAAAGCTGTGCTTTGTACCCAGGGCCCACTGGGGCTTGAACATGGAGGAGTCTTACACCAAGGGCCTGGTGTCCCATAAGCTTCTGTCCTACTCAGAGGACAAACTTGACAGGTTCACAGTATTTATAACATGTAAATATGTTGTAAATTCAGGAAATCGGAATCTCATTTTCCTGTTTGCTTCTGATAAGTTTCCATTTTCTGTGCCTGGACCAGGAACATTGTTAGCTAAGATTTTAAACTCAAGGTTTCAGGTATGTGCTATTATTCCCTGGGAACTGGACTGCTTTTGTAGAACATGACAGAGTCATGATATTACATTAGTGGCTGTTGCCTCAACAAACCTTGGAAACCATCACTGTTAAGAATTAAGGATTTTGGTGCTGGAGAGATTGCTTAGTGGCTAAGAGCACAGACTGACTGTTCTTGCAGAGGATTTGGGTTCCATTTCTAGCGCCCACATGGCAGCTAACAACCGCCCGTAACTCCAGTTCCAAGGGAATCCAACACTCTCTTCTGATCTCCATGGGCATTGCATGACATGGGTGCACTTACCTATATGCAGGCAGTACACTCATACACATAAAAAAATAAAAAAAGCCATGTTAAAAAAAAAGTAAGGCTTTCTTTTAATAGGTTTGGTGAAAACCCTACTGATACAATACCACACGAGTTCTGTCTGTGGCTCACCAGAAAAATGGAAAGTGGACCTGTCTTTAAGATACAGGTGACCAAGGGCTGGAGAGATGGCTCAGTGGTTAAGTGCACTGGATGCTCTTACAGAGGACCTGGATTTGATTCTTAGTACCCACATGGGGGCTAACACTGTCCTAACTCCAGTTCCAGGGGATTTGATGTCTTCTGACTTCTCCGGACATTGCATGACACAGGTGCACTTACATACATGCAGGCAATACACTCACACACATAAAAAATACAAATAATAAATAAAAACTAAAAAGAAAGATACAGGTGACCTCCAATCCCCACTTAGGGATAGGGCTGAGAAATGCTGGCAGACATTCTGTCCCCAAGCCCAGACTCACCCCAACCCACCTCTGTGCTTTTCTGTTTGAGTACTTAGAAGCTCTGCACATTTTGTCTCTTCTTCTTGTATTTCCAGATGAAAACGACACTCTGGATGGATGCTGCTCACCTGTTTAAGTTAAAGAAGCAGAAGTAACTAAAAATTATACAAGAGAAAAGCTAAGCAAAAATCTATAAGAAGAACCCCCAAACCTCACAATTCTAAATTGCTTGCAAACTGAAATTCATTTAAAAACAGTCTCGGGGCTGGAGAGATGGCTCAGTGGTTAGGAGCACTGATTGCTCTTACAGAGGACCCAGGTTCAATTCCCAGCACCCACGTGGCAGCTACGAACTGTCCTTGACTCCAGTTCCAGGGGAATCTGACACCCTCTTCTGACCTCTGTGGCACTGTACGACACGGCTGCATGCGCATACATGCAGGCAATACAAAAATACACATAAAATAAAAATAATAAATATTTAAAAAATTTATTATTTATTTTATAAAACAAACATAAAATTCAGTAGATTACTTTTTCTGAGCAGGAAAATAAACAAGACGAGTACATTGTATGTTACTAGAACTAACTTAAAGGCCAATAGGGCTTTAGAAACTCATAATCCCTCAAAATTGAAGAGCTTCCATGTCATAGCCTGTGTTTTGACTAAAGTAAGTTAACTGTTAGTGGTTGTGGGCTGTACAAAGGCCCACTTCTTCATCTAAGAACCCTCTCTGTCATCACTTCAGAGTCAGAACAGGATAAGCATACCCAAGCTTCAAGACACATTTGAAACTTAACCCTATGAATACAGTTAAAATTCTTTTTTTAAAAAAATATTTTATTATTTTTATTTTATGTGTATTTGTGTACTGCCTGCATGTATGTGAGTGCACCCGTGTCGTGCAGTGCCGTGGAGGTCAGAAGAGGGTGTTGGATTCCCCTGGAACTGGAGTCAAGGATGGTTTGTAGGTGCCATGTGGGTGCTGGGAATCGAACCTGGGTCTTCTGCAGGAGCACTCAGTGCTCTTAACTGCTGAGCCATCTCTCCAGCCCCACAGTTAAAATTCTTAACATTTTGAATGTACAATTTGGTGTGAAGCAGTTTTTCACAAAAATGACAGGGATGAAAAGGGAGAGGCAGAGGTAAGAGAAACACATCTCTGATTCCAGGATGACAAGGGAGCTCTCTAGTTAGGCTCTCATGGGGTCTTGCAGACACTGCAGAAAAGGACACTGAAGCTGTGCAGTTATGGACAAAGGCAGACTCATGAGCTTTCAGTCCTGGAAGACAGCATTCTCTAACCTCTTCTTACAAAGGCCCAGCGTTCTCTTAGGCTGCTTATCAAGCCCTTGCCCTCATGTCATGGTGTCTTTGTCTCTCTTTGTCTGTCATCCTGTGTACCATCACAATTTCTCCCCTCTTACCAAAATTTTACTTTCACAAAGCAGTAATAAAAAGAATCATGCTCAGTTTTGGTACAGCCATCTGTTTAGCCATCCTAGTAATGATATACGCCATCTAGCATTCCAACAAGGAATAAAATTTCCTAACAGGATCTGAAGAAGAAACTCAGTGTTGGATTCTTTTGCCACATTCACTTCACTAGAGGTACATTAGTTTCATCAGCTCATTTCTAAACAATCAGCAAACCTGGCCATACCTGGTGATTCCTGACATCAAGAACCAACAAGTCACTGATCTAAATTTCAGAATTGATGAACTGATAAATAAGGTACTAAAAGCATTACAAGCTCTGACATTCCTGGAATATGTGGAACTATGAGAAATTTAGGGAAATCTTGGAGGTTAAAGTGGGCTGACCACATAATTTCCAAGACTTCACAGCCATCTTTAGCAAACTCTCCTTCAGTAGCCCGTGGGAGGATGGGGGGGAAATGCGACCCTGTGCTCTAGAAAACTGAAACTCCGTCAACAATGACAAGTTTCCCTCAACAACTTCCCCTCTTGCTACACACGCTTTAATTGGATCCATCACACAACCCTCCGGGAGACCGAGATGTAAGCACGTAAACGCATGCTCGTGCTACACATACACAGTTCTCAGTGCAAGAAAGGAAAGCAAGAGACAAAAAGAAAAAGAAAAAATAAAGGTTTTCAAATAAAGGGTAGAATTCCGGAGAACTACATAGCACTAATGCATTCGTTTAGCAAACTTCACTTTGTTTTCTTTGGCGCTCTTAGAAAAAACAAAGATTATTTTTAAAAGGAAACTTTCTTAGTTACGCTGCGTCCCCTCTGTCATACACTAAAACAAACACAAAGACCAGGAGGTGAACAGAGAAATATTTAACCACAGAGCAACTGCAATTTCACTTGGAAGAGAAGTTAGCACAGGTGGCTGTGACTGCGGCCGCTCTCCACGCAGGGCGCACGGGCAGGCTAAGACCAAATCATCGAGGGGTGCCGAGAGCCCGGGTTCGGCTTTCAGTGAACCCGTGAGGACAGTGGGAATAGAGAGAGTGCCAGCCCGAGTCTGAAGTCCCGCTGGGCCAGGGTCGGACCACCAGGCTCGGGCGAGGAGGCCTGTGGTTCCCTGGAGACGGTGCATTCTCCACATCCCGCGCACAGATCCTCGCTGGCCCCGCGGTAGGTCCGCCCAGCCCTCCAAAGGACGCACCTCTTCCGGAAAGGGATTCGGTGGGAAGGGGTCGCGTGGGTGAACTCACCGGCAAGAACAGCCAGCAGCAGCAGGTCAGCAGCTCCCAGACCCTCATCCCGGGCTCAGCGCGCGGTCTCCCTCTCAAGCGCCCGCAGCAGCCCCAGCCCCAGCCCCAGCCCCAACATGGGTTCCCAGAGCCGCGCCGCGTCCCACCGTCCCGCGCCCAACGCGCTCCTGGGCGTCCCGCCCCTAGTCCTTGTCCCCGCCCCACGCCCCCCGCGCCCCC